GAAGGAGCTCGGCCGAAAAATCACTACAGCAGTTAAAAAGCGCCAAGTACTCATATCTCCAGTATCTCTAGGCACTTTTATTAATTTTGCGCTGATGAAATGTTTTGGCATTTCTTGGTCATTATCATTCTTATTTGTTTTCACTTTCACCAGCCGTACATAGTACATACATAAAAAAAATTAAAGAATTTCAGTTTTTTGGGCAACATTTAATTTAAGTGTTTTTTTTGTTTTAATTTCTATTTCCCTTTTCGACCTCACTGCGGCGGCATGTGACGACATTTCTAGAAGGGAAATTATCAGTGTGGCCTACATTACCTGCCTCTCAACACGAAAGGACTTCTCTTTTGCAGTTCTTTTTCGCCCAACTGTGTGCTTGATTTATTTTGTAAAAATATTTATTGTAATAATGGAAAAGAAGATTTGTTTCTTTATTTCCATTTGAGTTGTTTACTTGGTCCAAACTGATAATCTGCTGACGTATGAGACATCTAAGTACCTATTAACATACTTATAGGTATATATACATACAAACGGACATATATAATGTGAATATATCACTTGGTGATTACAAAAACATCCGTTAATACACAGCTTATACCGTCTTTGTCGTATTGAAATCTGCGTCATTAAAGACAGACTTTGGAGACACTCTTGCAATTCAGCTCCTCTGCATACGAATTGTTTTCTAAAGTAAATAAATAATTCGTAGACAGCAGCAAAGCTAATACGACACTGCTTTTGGTAGATCCTTTACTTCGCTTTTGCAGTCTCTTATTTGGTTTTTGCGTCCCGACTTAACTGTCCACTGGGTGTATTTATTAAATACTTAAACATATTTGCGATTTCTCTCATACGTCAGCAGTAAATAGACTTACGCACATACATACACTTGTTTTCATGAGTATTTCTCTATATTCGCACATACATACATACTATTTATTATATGTTTATTATTATTTTATACAAAAACGTGATTACCCCCCACGAAGTAATGGGGCGTTGCCTGAGCTTTTCTTAGAACGATTTCCTTGGCAAAAGCGTACACATACATACATAAATATTTACATGAGACATTTATTATATACAGTGGCCGAAAAGAGTAGTTAATTTAATTTTTATTTAATTTTTTATTAATTATGAAATTTGTGGTTTTAATATTTCTTGGTCATTGATTGAGTAACCTCCGTTTATCGAACGAAAACGGCTTCAGCCGACAGAAGGCGGAACGTAGCAAGTTTCCAGAAGAGCAGGAAGCTTACTCATACTCATACCCAATTTAACGAACAAGTTTACATTGCTGAGCTGTTCTCATTCGAAATAAACTAAAACATCACTTCCTACAACCTTATGAAGGACCTTATTAGCGAGCAACTTCAGTCTGGCTCAGTAATCGAGAAAACAAACCAGTATCTTCCGCCATCTATTGTCCCCCACTCATCTCTATACCAAACAAGCAATTTAATGGTTTTTTAGTCTTCTCGTTAATATATTTATTGCAGGTGGCTATTACAATGCCAACCATACTCATTGGGCTTCCGTCTTGTTAACCCAACAGGTCGGTAATTACACAATTACACGACTGATCCAAATAAAATACCACCGAGAGTATCCAAAGAACACTACGAATTACCAACCGCTGAATTGTCGGAAAATGTTGACTGTTGTTGTTGACCGAGAACGGCAGAATAATCGTTCCCCTTCACCTCAGCTAAAATTTGTTGAGAAAAGCTTTAGAATGTGAAGAAGAGAGGGAGGGGAGAGATTATTTCTGCTTTCACGCCGAACTCTGCTCAAAGGAGTCGACTATAGTACTAGTACTCGGCTACAAAAACAAAATCCTATATTTTATATTTAGCTTTTCATTAGCAAGCAAAATGCCAAATACCAAACACGTCCAATATTCCTAATGCATTTTGGGTTCGTCTTGTGAAAGATTGAGTTTCAATTTAAAAATATTCTAGCACTTCTCCCTTGTTTTCTATTTTTTTTTACATTTTTTTTTAATTTGACTCAATTTTATTTCAAATATTTTCTCCGCATTCTTTAGAAATGTATTTAAAAACGACAAATCGTTGCTTGTGGCATTCTATATACATACTCCTACATATGTACATATGTTTTGCGCATTGATCTATTGCTGATAATGAAGAAGGATCGCAAATTAAGAGTTTATTTTCAACTGTAGGATAGCAATAAATTTCCAAAGGTTAGCCTTTTGTTGAATTCTATTCGGACGAAGTCGTGGTAACGTCATTCGTTTGAATATTATATATCAATGTCATCGTATAACTTTGATCTCGCCACGACGTCATGGCTTTAAATACATATTTCTGTGTGTTGGCTGCATATAGATCTTCATGACAAATTTTAGTGTATCGCCCATTTGGTATGGAGAGCTTAGCCCAAGGACCTGTGAAGTCTGCTCCAATACCTTCATTGGACTTGCAGCTATCTTTATTCCAGATCTGTATATGGACTTCATTTATTTGTGCTCGCAATCCCCCATAAGGACATTCTCTGGAGCACAGATAGTGCGGTCTTTGTACAGTTCAATTTATATATTTATGTCGCAAAGTGTATCTCATATTTACCTGGAGCTACTATGAGTATGTTGTCTACTTTTGATACTTACAAGCGTCTTAATTTGTTTTTAAGTTAAAATAACTTTTTTAGTGGCCCCAAATTAAGTGGCAATGCAACATACGACTTAACTTACATACGAGTAGACTTAACTTACATACGAGTATATATGTGCAAATTCTATTTACAATATTTCTGCGAACCAATTTGTAGAGACACATCGTTATTTTTTACTTTGATTATTTTTTGTTTATGTTCTCATTTGATACCGAATCTCAAGGAGAATTAGGCTTGTCAAAACATTTCCCATTAAATCTACACGCTCGACGATTATGCACGCCAACACCCTGCAGTGAAATGTTCAACTAATGGCTCACTATCAAGTAGTATTTTAAAGGTGAGACTGCAACATTTAACAGAGGCCAAGTGACTTTGTATTTCACTATTAGTTATGGGACTCACAGTTCGAATCCCACTTCCCACCAATTTATAACTCTTTTTCTGTCTGTGAAATAGAAATTCAAAATACATTGGGATTGAACTAGTATTTAACTAGTAACAAGATGAAGCTGATTAACAGCGGCTAAAATGGAAAGCGTAGTCTGGTTTATAAGTCTGAAAAATGCATGTTAATTTATTATTTATGAAATGAATAAAAAGTCCAGTCTACCGTGAGGGGTTAGTTAATGATCACAGCAAACGCTATTCGCATGTCTGGAACAATTACGCACCTTTTTTTGCTAACTTTCTCGAGATTTTCTGTTTGATTATAATTTAACTTTCTTATAATTCACCTTTTCTGTAAATGTATGTGTCGCTGCCCCATTAGCCAAAATTATGAATAATCAATAAAATAAAGATGAGAATAATAAATTTTTTTAATTGTGTTCGCCTCTCAGCTGTCAATGCCAACCACACCGAGTGTTCTTGTGAAGTGAAAAAAGCTTCTAATAAAAATCAGCCTCTCGGAGGCAGTTGTAGATCCTTCCGATTTTTTGAAAATAGGGAGAGGAGTTCGGAAGCAGTAATAAAACACTATCTTACTATATGTTGTCTTTAATGTCTAAATGATCAAGCCACCGCTCACCGCTGATCGTAGAAGCCCCAAGTTGGAAGGGTGTTTCCTGCATATACTCTAGCCAAGTGATAAGATGATGATTATCCGCCAAGTGGACCTGGATCCGGTGAAAAATTCTATTCCTATTCTACAATACTAAATGAACATATATTTTTCCAAGCGGCCGAATCGCAGGCAGAAGCTGGTATATAGTCGTATTTACTTCCAAGAAACACTATACTCTATCAGTAGACTTTTGGGGAGTCCCCTGCTTCTCATACAACATTTAATTTCATCGTAAATATTTGTTTATATGCCTAAATTCACATAATCATGTACTCATATGTCGTTTGATGGCAGTCAATTGTTCCTCATAATTGGTTCCATTCTTATTTGTCAGCAAATCTTTCTCACATTCTCAGCTTCTCATAATAATATAAAATCATTGGCTTATAAAACGTTTGGTAGATCTTTGACATAAGTATAATTTATTTAATTTTTATATTCGAAAGCTGGTTTTAGTGAGATGCTAGTCGAAGCAGGTCGATCTCTTTCTCCGATTTGTGGTGTGCGTCTTGATGTTTTTCCAACTTAGCCGCCGCCGAGCAACCGACGGATTTTTATGACGATCGTTTTATTTCATGTCAGAAATACACTCGGAAGGCTTGACATTCCTTGCCGAGGTTTAGCCGCAATTAGAAAAATTAATTTTCTATGATTTTGGATGTTTCCTCGAACCGAAATTCGAATCCTGGCCTTGAGAAGGTTAGTAAGTATTGCTAACCACTCGACTATTTTTAATGACTGAAAATTAATTTACTTTTGACTTCTTTCCCATACAACGTTAGCTTGTATTTAAGATATTTTATTAAAACTTAAAAAACTCAGTGAACCGGTTACCTGTTGCACTGCCTACATTAGTACAACACTAATAATATTTCTCTTGCACCCAAACGCTCTTGCGTGATCTCTTTCTTAAATATCTCGTGTGTGCTTAGCTTGAAGGGAGGTTCGGTTATCTTTACCGCTAAGACCAAACAAATACATAAGGAGCGTTGCTCTAGACAATTGTTTGTAGAAAGAAAGAAGGCAAGAGGTAAACGAAATTCCCACTGCTGGATAGATATCATTCAGTCACACATACACGTACATTCATACCTTTTGACTTTGCTTTTACTTACCTTTAGATAAGCTGAGCAATTACCGAGGAAAACTGATCTTTCAACTTGTTTTGAGATTCTCTTTGTATTGGTTTATTACACCTTTTCACCGGTATGTGTACATTTGTGCCGCATGTAGGGTGCCAGCAGATTGTGTATGGATAACGACGCTCAGCGCAACGAGCATAAATTGCGTCGATGACCAGCGCCGACGATCAGTTACCAACAAGCAGCAAGCCGGTGAGCGACGAAACAAACTACAAGCGCGCATTTGAACAATTCGTGAACCTCTAGCAGTAGCAAAATAGAAACACAAACAGAGGCGGTGAAAGAAGTTATTGAAGGCGAAAAACAGAAAACAACAGAAACATATTTTGTGGACCCACCAAAGAATTTACCAGAAAAACATTCATTTTTACTCGTATGAAGTAAAGATATATTGAAAGAGTAAAAAAAAAAAAAACTTGTGACACTTGTTTTTCGTCTTTTATAATTTCAACTGAACTGTTGTTTAGACGTAAAAAATAGAGACTAAAAGAAAAAGGTTGCATAACTAATTAAGTGAAATCACACAGCAAACCTTAAACCAGATAAAGATAACCGAAAACATTTACCACATTTTTATATAAAATATATAAAGTAATAGATAAAAGACACTTTGTAGTAACAACAAAAAATAAAAACAAAAAAGAATTCAGAAAAAATGACTGGCTTCACCATCAACGGTACTGATTTGTTGAAAAGCAAAGCGCTCAATGGCAGCGCCAACGGGGATGCGAATGGCAGGAGCAACAATTACATTGCCGAGGAATGTCCGAAGTAAGTAGAAGTGCCAAAAGGTGTACATAAACATAAATATTTAATATAAATATAGAGTACACAAAAATACAAAAAAATGCACACAAAACATTATTTGTTTTCAATAGATTTCAATTTAAAAGCTTTCACACAAAGAATAATATAATGAACTACATAAAAATGACTAAATGCAATTAAACGGTATTTTTGCGATAAGAAAAATATTTTTTTTCTCTGATCTCCACGATCATTTGACGCTTTCATTGAATTATAAAAAAAAATTATCAAAAAAAAAAAAAATTTCAAAACGATTTCAATTAATATTCAATAAGAAATACATAACAGTTTATAGAAATAATTTAATTTAATAAAAATAGCAAAAATTTATAAAATTATTAAAAAGTCTTTTAAAAGTACATGAAACTCTTTTGAGTTTTATTTTTTTTTTTTATTAATAATTTAGACAGCGTCTCATCGACAGACATCTGTATGTATGTACACGTATGCAATATATATGTACATATTAATTTACCATTAACCTTGGACTTTTTTACATTTTGGTCATGTTCGGCCTACATTGCTGTATTTGTTTGAATTCATACACATTTTGCATTCTAACACAAGAAAAACAACAACAATTCAACAGCAATTTACTTAAAAGGATTTGAGGTGATAATGGTTGGTCGCTTGTTTGGTGGGTTGAAGGAGGGAATGTAGAGAATCTGATCGCCATCGACAGCTTCTGGGCCTACCTCACTTTTAAACTCCTTTGTATAGATATATTTAGATGTCTTCATTGCTACCTAATGAACCGCCTTCGGTCTATTCTTCTCTACTAGAGAAATAATAAGTAATTTTTACACGGAAAAAGGTTTTGTTTTTGCGCTCGCATTTTAGGTTTAGCCCGAGCTCTGATACAATTGCACGATGGGTTTGAGGCAGAGAAAAATTGTTGATTTCTTTCAAATATAGGTAAAAATTAGTTCAAAAGCTCGTATATATAAATAATATAAATATATATATATATATATATATACATATGTATGCGTTTATTTTAACAATATCTAGTCTACATGTTCAAAAGAAAGGATCTAAAAACAGTTTTAACGATTTCACATGATATTACAGCGCGTTTTTGCGCCCATTACTTGTTTTTGAATTCGACTGAATTTTGCTCTAGTTTCTCAACAGAAAATTTTACTTTTGAATTTATGCTGAGGCAATTTTGTGGCTGTTTTTTTTTTAACTCACTGTGGTTTATTATTTACCCAATTGCCTGAAGCATTCAAGTATATATAATGCAGCAGATAAACATATACCTACCTATGTATGTATATATGTATATGTATATTTAGGTATGCCGGCAAACTCCATACGTGGAAACGAGTAGTTTCGAGCCAGTTAAAAGCGGATTCGAGCTGAAATTTTTTTTGTTTTTGTTTTGTTTTTTTTTTGTTTTTTTTGTTTTTGTTTTATAAAGATCTTGTTTGTTGGCGGTCGTAGATAAATGAGGCGAAAAATGTCAAAAAATGAAAAAACTAAACGAAAACAAAAATAAATAGATACAAATCTCAAACGACAAAACACAAGAGATTGGTCGACATTTTTTAAAAAACACTTGAAACAATCAACCTTCAGCTCAACCTAAAAGTGATAAGTGATAACAGCAATTGAAAAATGATTAATTAAATTAATTAAAAATGTTTTTTTCTTTTCCTGATATGATGATTAAAACAGCGATCTAGAGCAGAGGTCGCTAGTTAAGGTCAATCTAATTTAATTCCATTATTTTTATGTTTCGATGTTTTTGAGCGTTCTTACAAAGGTATCTTCTTGTCTAGACCAACAAATGCCGCAAGTGAACGAGTGAGTAAGTTCGGCTTGCTTAGTTCGTCGGCAGGTTTATGTCTAGCTTACAAAATACCGACGAAAATATGTATGATTTGGTTAGAAATAGACTACGAATCGTTCCTAGATCGCTGCATCTCGTTCGTTTAGTGCGCCTGCAGGCCTTTTTTGAGTTTGACGTCGCAGTTTACTTCCTCGTTCAACTCAAGCGTTAAGGAAAGCTTTGTGTAGTGAATAATCCCTTACTGAAAGCGTAAGCATACCTAAAAGTGGGAGCTCGGCCGAAAATCGCTTCAGCGGTTATCAAGCGTCAATTATATATGTTAATATATAAATAAATCGTGATTATATATATATATATATATATATATATATATATATATATATATATATATATATATATATATATCATATATATATATCATTCTTCTCGCATTGCCCTTCAAACACAATTAATTAGTTACGTAGCACAAACAATTATGCAAAATATTACGATAATCTACAAAATATTCAAAACAAAAATCTAGTTTTTACACAAACGGCTTTTGAACTTTGGTCTACACAAAAACAATGAAAGCCAAATTTTTTTTACCAAATCTGCGCACGAACAGAGTGAAGCATTCAAAACAAGTAGAAAAGAAACTATACAAGTAAATACACAAACAAAATTAATTAAAATTAAAAACAATAAAACAAGGCAAGAAACAACATAAACATATGTATATATTTAGGTCAAGTAAAAAGTCATCGATTATTTTTGCCTTCAATTGAGGACTTGTTAAAAACCATTGATTTTTACAGGCTTTTCGTGAGACCAACTCTTCACCAGCGTGATCATTCGCCATAGACAGGAACAGATGGTGATCACTCGGTGTGAGGTCTGCAGGAGATGCTGATGGAGATCTCTCAACCTCCAAGTTCACAGAGCGTTGTCCTGATTAAACACAATTCCTCCCCATGAGGTGTTTTCGCGTTACCTCATGTGGCACCCATATACCACGAACCCCTTTGTATATCCAGACTATTTCAAGTGGTTCCAAACTGTTTTTGTGCAATGTTTAGCGCCTGGACAATCGAAACAATGCTCGCGCGACGGTCACAACCCACGGTTTTTTTTTATTTTATCGACATTTTCGACGAGTGGCCTTTTACACCATGAAACAACTTTCACAACAACCACATTACCTTTTTTTATTACAACCCTCTTTAGCCAAATGATCTCACTCGACTGTTCAGAAAAATATCGGAATTGTTTTTGAGTTATGTGCATGTCCTCATTTGTGGTGACTTTAATGTTGAAGCTGTTTCAGCAACGTTGGCATAGCAATAGTAAATGAGTATCCAACTAGATTTGCACCACACTGCAAGCCGAGGGTGTTGGACCTTTTTGGTGCAAGCCTCGGTAGTAGTGTAAGCCATGCTAACCAATTTTCTTTGCCTGGAGTTTCTGATTATGAGCTAATTATAATATTTTTCAATTTTGAATTAAACAGAATTAAGCCATCAATAAATTTACCTTTTAGACATTTCAAGAATATAGACAATGCCTCGCTATCTGCTGAAGCCATGACCCTCAACTGGAATTACTGCTGGCTACTTGCAGATGATAACGACAAGTTACAGTACTTTTCCATGCTAAATAATTATCTGTTTGAATAGTATGTTCCCCTTCGAAGAATTAAAGCTTTAAACCATGCAAAGCCTTGGATCACTAAGGGTTTCTAGCCCTTATAAAAGACCAATGTAGGGCTTATAGATATTGGAAGCATAATCATACTAATGAATGCTGGACCACATACAAGAACTTGAGGGATAAAGTAAAAAAGCATATCTGGGTATAGATCCAATCATAGTTGTTTCTCTAAAGCCTTCGACACTGTAAACTATGATATTCTACTGTTCCAAATGAAAAGTTTTGGTTTGAAGACATCAGCAATTAAGCTTATGAGAAGCTAGTTATCGGAGCTCCTCCGGACTCAGTTTTAGGCTAATATTTTTCAGATTATTTATTGATGTCATTGTTCACTGTTGCAAAAATTCTTCTATACATCTATATGCCGATGAAACCCAAATTCACCTCTCACGTCCCATTGGCATTGGTGAAGACTTAGTAGCTAGATTGAATGAGGATCTAACAAGAATTGAGAAATGGTCTAAGATTAATGGTCTCTAAATGGTAAGAAAACGAAGGTACTTCACCAAGTGTTTTGAACGGGGTTGAACTAAAATTTTAAAATGTTGCAAATTGGCGTGTCTTCAAAATTAACCCTCGTCGAAATTGTGAGGATCACATAAACCATTGCACTATAAAAATATATTCGACATTAAGAAATTGCGATTGTTTACCGATTTGAGCAAAACTTAAACTAGTTCAATCCCTTATTATTCCCCAAATTCCTCATTTTGAATTCGTATATGGTTTGGCGGTCGCGTTAGCCGAAAGGTTAGCATTGCGTACAGCCATTCGGAAGGCTCAGGTTCAAATGCCCGTGCGACCAACATTCAAAAGTTATAGAAAATTAATTTAAATAAAAAATTAAGTTAAATTTTTCTAACTGCGGTCGCCTATCGACAGGGAATGTCCACTCCTCTGAGTGTATTTCGTCAATGAAATAAACGCTTCTCGTCCCTCCATTTTTTTGAAAAACATCAAGTCGCAAAACCACAAACATGAGATGGAAAAATCGTTACAGCGGCTACAAAGTGCCAATTATATATATATAGGGTACTCTAAGCTATGACCCCAGAAACCAATTAAATTTAGCTTTAAATAACGTAACTAGGTTCATTTACTACGAAAAAAAAGTTTGAACACATCTCTTTATACACCAGAAACATTCTCGGCTTCACCCTTGCAATTTAATATAGTTAGTTAAAATCATCAAAAACCGTCAACCAGGATATCTCTTCCGCTAAATCAGGTTTGTGAGTTTTTTTTTGTTAGTGTTGCCTGAATTTGAAACTGATTACCAATTTCAATAAAGTGTATCAAAACGATTGGATACTTCAAAAAGGGCACCTAATTTCGAACCTATTTGCATAGCACCCATCCCTATTCTCCATGCCTAAGTCAACATACTGTTGAATCCCCTCCTTTTATTATAGATATAATATTATATATATACCAATCCTAAGATTAAAAAAATCAAATTATAATTCTTTATATGTTAATA